GTCCATCTGCATCTAAAGGTCAAAGGTCACTCTTTGAGGATGCCAACGTTCACATTTTGGACAGAGAGGACAGATGGTTTGAAAGAGGAGTGAAAGAAGCATCTATGTCCACTGTGAGCGACCATCTTTGAACAGAGGCGGGGCTTACGACACCAACTGTCACATTTGTGGAGATTTTTGATGTTGCTGTGCTGCACACACACAAACATCACATGAAGGATGACCGTATTAACACAAAGCACCGCAACAGCATGTGCACGAGCTCTGCTGCCCGCCTTAGCTTTTTGTCAAACACATTTTTATCTTGAGAGTAAAAAAAGACAGAAAGAGGGTGAGAGTTTCTCACATCAGCTGCAGCGAGCGCCGCCCACTTCCTGTCTCTGTCGCCTTCTCTGTGCGACACACGAAGCTCTGCTCAGGTCACAAAACAGCAGCAACAGCAGAAGAAGAAGAAGAAGAAGAAGAAGAAGAAGTGCTTCTAAAGTAACTTTAACACATTAACCACACACACTCACACACACACGTTTGCTGTGCTGTCTTTGTGAGGACCCACATGCACACAGCACCTTCTCAGGCCCCTGACCATGAATCCACAAATGTTTCATTCACCCAGACAAAACAACCCCCCCCCCCCCATTCCAAACTGTCCTCACAGTGCGGTGATGCCCCTCCACCCGGTCCCTCACATGTGCACACACACACACACACACACACACACACACACACACACACACACACACACTCTGGGAGCCCGGCGTCTTTGTTGAGCGTGGGAAAATGTTCAGAGAGACTAATTAGTGCTGCAGCGGCCTGAGAGGCTCCATTGATGCTCACATTGGTCTCTGTGTGTCCCCCCTCCCTGCAGGTCTCTGGGAAACAGTCGGACAAAACCGGAACGATCCGCAAACACGGCGCCTCCATCAGGTTTACTTTAGTTCTACTGTGTTTCTATTCAGAGCTCCTTCTGCTTTCACATCAGCATGCTCAACAGGAAGCTGAGCTTTCGTGTGTCTGTGTGTTTCAGGCCCAACAAAGCTCCAGAGGCAGTCCAGTGCCCCGTGGTGCCCCCTGCTGGCAGGTAATAAGCAGACACCTTTAATCCTCTGCAGCTTCAGGTCTGGTTTTAGGGTCAGACCTCAGTTTAGCTCTGAGCTCTGCAGCATCACCTTCAGTTAGAGCTCAGGGCTGAAACCTGCTGCTGCCCGAGGTTAAAGTCAAACCACTGATGGGACAAACACAGTATCAAACAGCAACTCCATAAACTTCATTTATCAGCTTTAATGTTGAAAAGTTTGTTTTTCAGCTCCAGCTTTGGGAAACCTGTAGCTCCACCCACCATCCCGCCCGAGGCTGACATCATCACCACGCTGCTGGACGATGCCCCACCTCCTCCTCCTGCTCTCATTGAGATGCCAGTTCCAGACGACGCCTTGGCCTTGCCTCCCCCACCTCCTCTTCCTGGTTCATCGGGAGATATATTAGCCCCACCTCCTCCTCCTCCTCCCCCTCCTCCACCCTTTTCAGGTGCTAGTGCTCCACCACCAGCTCCACCCCTCAGCCTCGAGACAGGTGAAGACAAAACAGAAAAATGTTTTGTGATGATGCCATAGCAACTACAAATCAGTTAGAAATGCACAATTAGTTAATCCTGGTTAATCTCAGATAAGCAGGTTAATTCATAGCTATGTCTGGATTAGTTAATCCTGGTTAATCTCAGATAAGCAGGTTAATTCATAGCTATGTCTGGATTAGTTAAGCCTGGACTACTTTACCCTGGATCAGTGTGGTTGGTTTAGTTAAACCAGGGGTCAGCAACCTTTCTGATGACGAGTGCCATTTAAAACTTCCTCAGAAGTCAGTGTGTCATATGATGCGTTAGCAATAAATTTAATAACGCTCTATGAACAGTTACTCACTATGTAGATCAACTTTATAGATTATATTTGTTCACAGATGTTTGCAGCTGTCAGCGAATAGTTATCAGCTATTATGAAACAAAAAACACTTTTTATCCATAACAGCAAATGAACTGAACAACAGCAAATGCTACTTATGGTCTCCTCACAACAATGATAAAATAAACTGGGCCAATATGTTTGTTAATACAGAGACACACATGTTAATGTGATCTCTGGTCTCCCAGTGTCCAGCATTCAGACCTGAGGACTCATGTGAGAGAAAATCTGCTCACACAGACATGTGGAGCCAAACACTGTCAATAAGGCCTCTGCAATGTTCTGAAGACAGTTAAACTTGTCAGGTAGTGATGTCCAGCAGGTGAACATGCAGCTCCATGAACACGCACAGCTGTGGATTCCAGCTGCTTCGATGTTGCATTAACTGGCATTAACTCAGCCAGTTAATGCGACACAATCCAGCTGCTTATTAAAGCTTCTGGTTTGATCAGAAAATAAAACATTGGTCCACCTGAAAGTCCCAAAAACGCCTTGTGTCTACGGATGTATCCGTGTATCTCCGTGGTGCTGATGCTGAGCGGACAGCTGCTGAAGCTTTTGAAGAGTCAGAATGTGGAGAGCTAACAACGTCCCTCTCACCAGTAGGCTGAGTTAGTTTTAGCCAGTTACAAGTTGAGTCTGGTAGTTGGGTTGTTAGCTAAGATACCGTCATTAAGAAGCAGCACAACTAATGTGTGCATGCGAGCTGATGTGCGATGAGCACCGCTGGCACAGCCATTTATTTTTTGATGCACCCTCTCAGATTAACTCACTGCGTGTCGTGCCCAGGGCTGGACTGGGACAAAAACACGGCATTTTGACCAGAGACCGGCCCCCCAGGTATTAAAGCCATAAAGCCTTTGAATGAAAACGCTGTTGTGACAGTGATGTACAGTGTTCTTGGTATATGTATGATTTCTATACATTTTACATCAGATGAAAACTTTGGTTGTAAGATTCAGATAATTATTTAATAACAGACATTTTAAATGAGAATAAGAAAGTGTTTCTTTGTGCCCCCCTCTCCCCGTTAATGCCCCACCTGCCTGTAAACAGTCAGCACAACGAAAATAAACTCCACCTAAACTTGTTTATATCTGACCAGACAGACTGCAGGTCATAACTTCTTACCTGATGTTCAGTTCACCTGACAGTCGGACCGGCGGCCGCCTCGGGTCTCCCCTCTTGCCTCCCCTCTTGCTTCCCCTCTTGCCTCCCCTCCTGCCTCCCCTTTCTCTCATCCACCTGCTGCCTCCACCACTTGCTAATGTTACTGAATCTGTGGAAGCACAGCCACCACCAAACAACTGAGTCATTTTTACACACAGGCCAGCCTCTGGCCAACCCACCACCTTTCAGTGTTTATACCGTTACAAAGAAAATGCCTGGTGGGCCGATGGCCAGTCCAGCTATGGTCGTGCCATCAGTTAACCCTTCGTGTGCCAACTGTGGCGCGTGCCCAGGGTTGCCGACCCCTGAGTTAAACCATTCTTATTCACATCGCACTGTAACCCTGATCAAACTGTGTGACATCATGATGACATCACGTTTCCTCCCTGTCCTCAGTGGTGGAAGAGAACAGCTTTCCCTGTGCCTCTCTGCCTCCTCCTCTTCCTCTTTCTGAAGACGACGGCTTCCCTCCGTTGCCCGGTGACACCGCAGACCTGCTGGCCCCACCCCCTCCACCTCCACCTGACCAGGAGATAGACGGTAGCATTTTTAATATTGAACTGTGTGTGCGTTTCCTGTATAAAGAGACTGAAACGTTTAAAAATTGTGCAGTTTAACCCAGTTTGGAGCCTTTGAAAGTCTGATATTATGCAAATACACCAACTTTTACTGTAAAGATCAATGAACCACTGCTGCATGTGCGGATTTTCTAAAATCAGCTTTCCTCGACTCACTGATGAGTCTGAAGAATAAATCAGTGAACACACGTCCTGTGTGATGCATGGACAGTCCGAATCATTCACAGATCTGGTATTTTAAAGACGCCAGAAAGCTTCCATTCCTAAAATGTGCAGTTCAAGTAGCCTTTTCTTCTTCTGTGGTGCTTTTTGTCAGCCTTCCTTTGCTTTTCTCCAGTCTTTTCTTCTTCTGTGGTTCTTTTGCAGTGACCCTCCCATCCAGGAGGAGTCACCGCCGTCGCTCACCCCCAGCCACTCGCTCTCTCTCTCTGAGGGTCCGCTCAGGCCCCGCCTCTCGCTGCCGCTATACCCGCTCTCTGTTCCTGCCTACTGTCCAATCACGTAAGCACAAAGTCGGGGAGCTACAGGTCTGAGAAGTCCTGAGGTCCTTGAAAGGGTTCTTGAATATCTTTCAGGGCCATAAATGTTCCTTAATAATGTTGCAGGAGTTCCAGGCCTTTATTTGCCCACTATTCATTTCAATCCAAACTTTATCTGTCGTGGTCGTGATCAGCGACAGTGTGAAAGATGGACGTAGCTAAAGCGCCTGATAGCTGCATTGTTTTTAATGGCCATCAGGGGGCGACACCGTTCCTTTACCTCTGTCATCGACTGTTCGGGCACTGAACTGGCTAACAGATTACAGTTTACTTATCAGTAGCCAATGAGGCTGCATTTCACACTCAGACCCGCCCTTTGAGGCTTCAGAGCAGGACTTGACTAACTGATGGCTGATGTCATTGTAACGGCGTCCATCTTTGGTACTGCCTGTGGTCTCAGACGATCACGCCTTCGTTGCCCGGATACTGACCGTCTCTTTTCTGTCTGTCAGTCATGATTCCCCCACCTCCCCCCTATCCTCCCCCCTGTGCTCCGCCTCGTCTTTCCTCCTCTTCATCTCGGCTCTGCTTACCTGCTCGTCTCGAACACCTGGGTAAGACGAGAACTGCCAGCATGCAGTACTCTTAGAGGTAGTGCTTTTGTAGAATTAGAACATTAATACGCACCTGCCTCCTCACCTCATAGATCTGGAGATCCCAGCCCCACCTCCTCCGCTCTCATTGGATGATATGGTGGGGTTTGATGACATACCGCCCCTCCCACCTCCGGTGGATTACGACACCAACGCCCCTCCAGATTACATTGATAAAGGTACTGAGGTGACATCACAGTTTGCTGTGATGACATCATTCCTACAGTCTGTGGCTTGTCTAACTGCAATTCCTTTTTGTGTCCAGTGAGGGCGCTGTACAGCTATGAGGCTGTGAAGCCCGATGAGCTGTCCTTCTCTGAGGGCGACATCATCTACCTGACTCAGCGCCATGACGACGGCTGGTATCAGGGCGTCCTGAACGGCAGACAGGGGTTCTTCCCTGAGAACTACGTCGAATCGTGTGGCTAAATGAAGCCCCGCCCCCTCATGTTTAACAGCCCCACTGTAGCATCCACTGAATGATTGTTAATGTAGGGTAACTTGTTGCACACCTCGGATCAGGTAGACTCCTCTGTTCTTAGCTTCTGGTTGGTTTCCCCACACCTGAGTGATTAACCCTTCGAGCGCTCGTACAAATCCTGTGATTAATGAAATAAAGTTTTTCTTCTCAAAGCAGCAGCCGTGTCCCTCCCTGCAGTGTGTCCTCTGTCCTCCAGAGGGCGCTGCTACTGTTCGGTCTCTCTGTCTTCCTGTTTGTTTCTCAGGCGCTTCAGCGCTCAGGCTTAATTTGCTGTGTTTGATTTGTCTCGTCTTTCAGATAGAATAGAATAGAATAGAATAGAATAACTCTTTATTGTCATTGTTACAAAAACAATGAAAGACAGTTTGGCATCTCTCCATGTGATTGAAGTACACAATAGTGTGAGTATTTACACAATACCACAGATAAATTTACACTTACACAAGAAATATATGTACAAGTTATAGATACACTTGCATACATACAACTTTTGCACAAGTTTTGCAAACAACAAACAAACAACAACGTTATTTGCATCCATTTACCTTTTACCTTGATTTTTTTAAATAACCATTTCAAACTATTTACAGAACAATCAGCTGTTCTTCAATAAGATGCCACAAATTATTTGTGCCACTGCAAAAACATAATTTCTGTCCACTCTAAAGGAAACATCACAGCCTGATACCTGCAGGTCTGACAGCAGCAGGCGTGTCACTCCTGTTTCTACCTGGAGACAGCAGTCGCCTCATTGTTCTGACCAGTGTTGCGGAAGTTACTTTAAATTAGTAACTTAGTTACATTACTAGTTACTTCTATCAAAAGTAACTCAGTTACTTCAAGTTACTCGTTACTTTCAAAGTAACTAGTTACTAGGGAAAGTAACTTTGGTTTTACTCAGAATTCTCTTGTTAATGTGTTGCTTCCGTAACTGGATACCCAGCACTTGCCAGTCTTCTAGCTTGCTTACATGTTAGCACTATCCTGCCACAGTGCACTGTGCCACCTACCAACTGAAAGGAAAAATTAATGTGCATATTTCCACGAGAGAAATCCCACGCCTGAACCGTC